GAATAAAAAGCAGCCCCAAAACCATTTCTAACAAAGAGCGGCCTGTAAAATCGAGCTGCAGATATAGACAAGCAAGCTGGAAGCTTGCACAGGCGAATGCCAGCAGCTGTAACAATAGGAGGCTACTTGGGTGCCAGGCATGCTCAACCTGACGGCTTTATCTTCCTTTTTCTTTATCAACCACAAGTGCAGTAAGGGACAGACAACATGCACTGGACAAGTAGAAACCCTTTATGCGTAAGAAGATTTGGGTGGATAGCCAGCTTCTTCACGAGCTATGTAAAGCTCTCAGCTGGTCCAACCCATATTTGGACCCTATGTAAATCAAACACCACCTCCTCAACAAGTCTATAAAACCTTGTGCAGTTCACCAGAAAACCAGAAAACACACTCAGAAGCCCCCCTCTCTCTCTGCAGAAGAGAGAGATGTTCTCTTTTCTTATTTTGCCTGTAAAACCTCCATTCTTAACCTCACTCCATGTGTATTGACATCCTTGATTTTCTTGACATGAGGCAATGTACCTTGGGTATTACCTCAGATGGACAATGCTGCTTCATCATAGTTCTGTTTTGTTCAGGTTGTGGGACAAACGGCTCCTTTCCTCTGCAACCTCAGCTCAACCTTACTCAGGCCTCCTTCCAGCAGAATCACAGAGCCAAATGAAACCCCTTAAGTCTTCTTTTAAATTGGCAGCCGCTCCAAAGAAAGCAGCATGATGAGTTTCAGGTGGCCCGGGGTGGGGCAGTGCTACTTTGGCTTCTCCGTGCTCAGTCCCTCTCAGTTCAAAAGCGCACCACGTGGAGCAATACAACACCTGCTCATCTGAGTTTTAAAAATAGTGGGAGGAAAAGCGCTGTCTTCATGCTTATTTCCCTGGCAGAGGGGAGGTCATAAAACACTAATTTCTAAGCAGTGGACCAGAGTTTTACTGATCTCTTCTTTTACTGACCCATGTTTACCCAGAGAAACCACATCACAAATCTGAGTCTCCTCTGGCAAGAGAAGGAATCGGATTCATGATTCTCTCAGCCCCCTTTCCACAGTAGAGTTCTGACTCCACTTCTAAAATACTTTTCTGCAAGCCTCTGTACCTCATAAATGTTTTACTCTACTCGAGACAGCAAAGGGAAGCACAGATTAGCTACTGTTTCCAGAACAGTGGAAACATGCTGTCTTCTCCACGTTTGGCATTGGAGTCAAAGATCAAGCGCCAAAGAGTAGTTGTCAAGAATCCTTTCATTTACAGTCAGGTTCTAGACTTTTAAAATGGTGTGGGCAAGAACCAGTTTTGCCAGAATAGGTTATTATCTACCTCTTACCTTTATAGGATAGGACTAAAAATTCTCTTTTTTAAGACAGAGTCTTGCTCTGTCCCCGAGGCTGGAGTGCAGTGGCATGATCTCGGCTCACTACAACTTCTGCCTCTCAGGTTGAAGTGATTGTCCTGCCTAAGCCTCCTGCGTAGCTACAATTACAGGGGCCCACCAATACACTCAGCTAATTTTTGAATTTTTGGTAGAGACAGGGTCTCCCCATGTTTGCCAGGGTAGTCTCCAAAGCCTGACCTTATGATCTGCCTACCTGAGCTGCCCAAAGTACTGGGATTACAGATGTGAGCCACCACGCTGGGCATTTTTTTTTTAATTACACTGCAGACTTTTGAAAGGGTTGTGTGTTGTATGAACTCCCTCCTCACCCAATTCTCATGGATGGGAAAATGCTCCTGCTTCATTTTAAAGCTAATGAGCTGCCTGAACAGGAACTTCTAATTAACCATTCAAACTGATTAGCTCACGCCCCTGAAGGCTGGATAACAGGGGAACTGCTATCCCATCTGAATACAATCCAAAGGCAAAAGGCTGTGGCCAAGTTGAAATAATGGGGCAGATAGAAGCGATAAACACTGGAGCTGGGAGTGGCCCGTACTAAGCCAAACAAAGGTGTTTGCATGTTTTATATGGGCAAAATAGGAATTCCATAATAGAGAAAACCATTGATTTTAAGGAGGACGCTGCCCTGAAAAGCTTCCTGCCAGGGGTAAGGAAGAGGCTGCCCAGGACCCCCAAAGGCAGGTGGTAGGAGGGCTCTTAGTGGCTTCCTAGAAACTGTATTACCTGAGGTAGTGAACTGCTGTCAGAGATCCCTACCAGGAGAATTTCTCAGGAACGCATGAGAAAGGGCCCAAAACTGCATGCCTGCTCCTAAAATGTGACACCATAATACAGCTGAACTATTCAATAAGGCCCTATCTGTTCCTCTGTCTCTCCTTTCTCCCTGCCCCTATCCAACCCTAGAAGAGCCAGAAAGCACTGCTAAGAAGTGAGGGTGGGTGGTCATAAACAAACACACTGCCCTCCTTTCCCTTCCCACTGTGGGTTTCTCAGGCTGAGGCTGTCACAGAGGAGGAGGGATGAAAATTGTTTTCGTTGATATTTTATCATGAACATTTATGAACGTACAGCGAAGCTGAAAAAACTTTACAGTGAACACTTTAACTGTATCTTCACCAACTTGGAGTCTTGTTTTATCTCATGTCCATCCATAGATCCATCTTTCTATCCATCCAGTAATCCATTATAATTTTAGGCATTTTAAAGTAAATTTCAGACATCAGTAACTCAACGTGCATTAACTAGAATTTGGTACCTTTTTCTTTCCTTTTGGTGTAAAGTTTACAAATGATGAAATGCAAAAATTTTAAGTATGTATTTACCGAATTTTGACAAAAGTATACATATGTGTAACCCAAAACTCTATCAAATAAAGAACATTACTATAATCCCTGATATGGTTTGGCTGTGTCCTCACCCAAATCTCTTCTTGAATTGTAGCTCCCAGAATTCCCACGTGTTGTGGGAGGGACCTGGAGGGAGAGAATTTAATCATGGTGACAGTTTCCCCCATACTGTTCTTGTGATAGTGTCTCACAAGAGCTGATGCTTCTATAAGAGGAAAGCCCCTTTGCTTGTTTCTCATTTCTCTATTGTCTGCCACCATGTAAGATGTCCCTTTGTCTTTCTGCCGTGATGATGAGGCCTCCCCAGCCAGGTGCAACTGTGAGTCCCTTAAACCTTTTTTGAATAAAGTACCCAGTATCACGTATGTCTTTATCAGCAGTGAAAAAACGGACTAATACAATCCCAGAAAGTTTCCTCATGACTTGTCTCAGTCTCCAGCTCTGTACCCTTAGATTTTTTTCATTGTAGACTAAGTTTGCCAACTTTAGAAATTCCACATAACTTGAATCATGTTGTGATCACCCTATATATAAGGCTCCCTTCAGTCCACAAAATAATTTTTATATTTATCAGTCAGGTTACACATATCAGTATCTCTTTCATTTTTATTGCTGAGTAGTATTTCATGCTATGAAATAACGTAGTTCGCTACCTGATCCTCTATTTGTGGTCACCAGAAATATTCAACTTTTGATTATTATGAGTAAAGCTATTGTGGTCTTCTATAAGTATTTTTATTAACATGTATTTTCACTAATTGGGGTAGATTCCTAACTCGGAAATTTATTAGAGATGAGATGTATATTCGTTCCATAAGAAAATTCCAGAAATTTGACAAAGTAGTTGTACTGTTTTATAGTCCCATTAGCAATAGTTATAGTTGTGCTGTATTCTTGCCAACATTTGGTGTTTAGTCTTTCCCAACCTAGTTATTTTGTGGGGTGTGTAGTAGTATCTCACTGTGGTTTTAATCTGCATTTCCTTGATGTTAACCATTTTGTCCCACTTGTATATTATCTTTGAAAAGTGGCTCCTCAAATTTTTTCTTCTTCTAAACAGGAATTGTTGTCTTTTTTTCTTTTAGTTGTTCTGTCATCCAGGCTGGAAGGCAATGGTGCAATCTTGGCTCACTACAGCCTCTGCTTCCTGGGCTCAAGCGATCCTCCCACCTCAGTCTCCCAATTAGCTAGCTGATACCAGGCTAACTTTTTGTATTGATATTAGCCAACACACAAGGTTAATTTTTTGTACTTATACTAGGTGTCAGGGTCTCACCATGTTGCCCAGACTAGTCTCAAACTCCTGGCCTTAAGCCATTTATCCTCCTCAGCCTCCCAAAGTACTGGCACTACAGGTGTGAGCCACTGTGCCCAGCCTTATTTTCAGATTATAAAACTGCTTCTTTTTTTTTTTCTTGTTACATTTACTTAATCTCAGTAGAAAGAAAAAAAAAGGGGGTAAACAGAAAGGAAATAGAAACTCCATAAAAAATAGTTATCAGGTGCTTGTGATATCCGCTCAGAAAGCAGTTTACGGGGGCTTGTGATAGTAGTTTACATTTCAGAGATTTACATTTCAAAGATACAATGGAACCCTTAAGGTGGCTGGTTAAACCTGTTTTTCACCAGGAGCTAAAACAAAGGCTTGGCTCCAGGGAAAATATGGGCAGAGGTCTCTGCTCCTCTCGGCATCTCAATTGCAGTAAGTTTATTGCTTACACAGAGACTGATGGGGACATGGAAGCAGACAGCACAATGTCCTCATAAACTGCAGGCCTTTGCTTTGCATTCTGTTGTTGCTTTTAGTGAGTCAGCTCATGGCCCTTTGTCTCACTCGACAGCTCTCGAGGTGGGGAAATGCAGACAGGTCCAGCAGCCAAACTGGGGCGAGTCAACTAGCTGCCTCGAGCCCTTGGCGCGAACACTACAAGGGCCCAAAGGGATTAACTACAAATACAGTTTCAAGAAATCCCTTCTATGATGGGTGTACACAGATAACGTGACTAAAATTCGAAACCCAAGCCTTCTATAAAATGAACCTATGTGTCCTATTCCACTACCAACTCCAAGCAGCAAACCCCCAACACCCAGTTAATGAAAAGGAACACGCTTACAATCTCGCACGTCCGAGAGAAAACAGGCGATATAGTAAGCTAGCCATCAACTTTGGACAATCGAATGAGTATGTACGTACGTACCGCAATCAACATTAACTTTCACAGAATTAGATCAGTTAATCACAGCTATTTTCGGGAAAAAGTGGGCGGCTCTAAAAAGAGCCTTTGTGAGTTGGATTTAATTACTGCCCAGAAAGCTTTACGCTCTCTCCCCACGAATGCAGCGAGCGAGCTGAATGTCCTTGGGCATGATAGTCACCCGCTTAGCGTGGATGGCGCACAGGTTGGTGTCCTCAAAGAGCCCCACCAAGTAGGCCTCGCACGCCTCCTGCAGGGCCACCACCGCGGAGCTTTGAAAGCGCAGGTCAGTCTTGAAGTCCTGAGCAATTTCTCGCACCAGTCGTTGGAAAGGCAACTTTCGGATCAGCAGCTCGGTTGACTTCTGGTAGCGGCGAATCTCGCGCAGGGCCACGGTGCCGGGCCGGTAGCGGTGCGGCTTCTTCATGCCGCCGGCTGGAGCGCTTTTCCGAGCTGCCTTAGTAGCCAGCTGCTTCCGCGGCGCTTTCCCCCCAGTGGACTTACGTGCAGTCTGCTTAGTACGTGCCATTGTGAACTAACTGAAAACACAAAGCCCTAAATCAGGCTCTTCACTGAAAATAGATTTATGACCATTTTCTGTCAGGCTGTGGCTTGCATATTCTTTTGTTTAATGTATCTTTTAATTTTCCCGGACACATTTTCTGCAAAATTCGTGTTAGTTTTTGTTGTATTTTTCAGATACTTTGTTCATTTCATCTAAGTTGCAGAATTTGTCACCATGACGTTGTTTATGATAGTCTCTTATTATCCTTTTCACGTCTGCAGGATCTGTAGTGATAGTTTCACTTCGCTTTCACTTCTGATATTGATACTGACCATTTGTGTTTCCTCTCTTTTTTTCATGATCAGAGTAGCTTAAGGTTTATTAATGTTGATATTTTGAAACAACCAGCTTCTTTGATTTGTTAGTTTTCTCTATTATTTTGTCTGTCTTCAATTTGGTTTATCTCTGCACTTTTATCTTTATTGTTTCCTTCTTACACTTCGTTGGAGTTTTCTTTGCTCTGTGTGTGTGTGTGTGTTTCCAATCTTCTTTAGGTGAACATTTACGTCATTGATTTTAGACCTTTCTCTTTTTCTTCTATTGCAGTATAAGCATGTACGGCTATACTTCCCTCTGGGAACTCCCATAGCTGTAATTCATAAGTGTTGGCATGTTGTATTTTGATTATCCCTTAGAATAAAATATTTTATATTCTACCTTTTGATTTCTTCTTGGGCTTGGGTATTATATTTAATCTCCAAGTACTTGGAGCTTTCCTAGTTCTCTTATTGTTAATTTCTGTTTTAATCCTATTGTGGTCAGGAAACATACACTGCATGAATTCAATTTGATTTAATCTATTCAGTCTTGTTTTACGACCTAGCATGTGACCTATCCTAGTGAACACTACATATACTTGAAACATACAGTATTCTGTGGTTATTGGGTGTCGTCTTCCATTGGTTTGTTTAAGATGGTGGAGAGTGTTGTTCAGGTCATCTGCATCTTGACTAAGATTTTGTCTAGTTTATCTATCAATTGCTTGGGAGATGGGTATTAAAATCATCAATAAAAATTGTGGATTGTTTATTCCTTTAGTTCAATTTTGTTTTGTGCAAATTGACGCACAAATTATTTTTAATCCATTTTTTGATGAAATGACTCTTCTGTAATCATGAACTATCCCTCTTTCTCTTTGGAAATACTGTTTTGACTTAAGCATATTTTATTTGGTATTAATATAGCTTCTTCACACTTCCATTACTGACTGTTTGTATAGTATATCATTTTAAATGTACTCATTTAGGGTCAGGTACAGTGGCTCACACCTGCAATCCCAGCACTTTGGGAGGCTGAGGCAGGTAGATCACTTGAGGTCAAAAGTTTAGGACAAGCCTATCCAATGCAGTGAAACCCCAGCTTTCTTAAAATACCCCCACATTTAGCTAGGCGTGGTGGCAGGTTTCTGTATTCCCGGCTACTCAAAAGGCTGAGGCAGGAGAATTGCTCGAACCCAGGAGGCGGAGTTTACATTGAGCAGAGATCGCACCACTGTACTCCAGCCTGGGAGATAGAGTAGGACACTGTCTTAAAAAAATTCAAATGTACTTATTTAAACCTACGTATATTTGTCTTTTTTTTTCTATTCAAAGTGTGTATTTCATATACAGCACTGGGTCTTGTGGGTTTTTTAAATCAATTCTGGCAATCTGCACTTGAATTGGAGTATGTGGGATGATTCATTAACATTTAACGTTATTAAATATAGATTTATTAGTGGTTGAATGATGTAATTGGATTCAAGCTTACAATTTAATGGTTTGTTTCATTATTTTGTTTGTTTTTGTTTGCATCCCCTTCCCCACTTTTTGTCCTGTCCCTTTTCTCCTGATGTCTTTGGACTCTTTAAATACTTTTAAAATTTCATTTTAAAGTATCCATGACTTATTAGATGTAGTGGTTGAATATTCCTTATCTGAATTCCTTGGGACTAAGTTTTGGATTTTAAACTTTTTTCATATTTTGGAACATTTACATATACATAAAGAGATCTCTTAAAGATATAACTGAAGTCTAAACACAAAATTCACCTATGTTTACGTACACCTCATACACATAACGCAAATAAAATTTTACATATTTTTAGCAATTTTGTGCACGAATCAAAGTTTGTATACATTGAACCATCAGAAAGCACACATATCGCTATCTCAGCCATCGATGTGGATGAATTTCAGATCTTGGAATATTTGGATTTTGGGGTTTATGGATCAGAGATGCTCAACCTCTACCTGTTTTCATTGTTGATTATTTTATGTGTTAAATATGTAAAAAAGGGTTAAGTTTTCAGCTGAATGAGATTTTTGAGTTTGGAAATTAAACTAAACAGGATTTTTCTGAAGTTCCAGGATACAGGTACAGAATGTGTAGGTTTATTATATAGGTATATGTGTACCATGGTGCTTTGCTGCACCTATCAACCGTTCATCTAGGTTTTAAGCTTCACATGCACTAGCTATTTGTCCTAATGGTCTCCCCATCTCACCCTCCTCTGACCCCCAACTGGCCCCAATGTGTGTTGCTCCCTCCCTGTGTCCATGTGTTCTCACTGTTCGACTCCCAATTATGAGTGAGAAAGTGTGGTGCTTGGTTTTCTGCTCCTGTTTTGAACTAGACAGAATTTCTTAATATCTTAAATTGCTCAGTGAAATAGAAAATATCAAAGATTCTACCCAACAGGTGGGTAAGAATGAGTCCACGTAGCAACTTTGATAAAGTGAAGGGAAATAGCAAACCATTTCTGATTGCTCCCTGCCACAGCCAGTGCATTCAACCTTTTTACTGTCCTTTTATTATTTTTTCATTGTTCTTACAGTCATTATTATTTTTCCCCACATGAAAAAATAAAAGTGGTGGGATTGATAGTGAGGAAACAGACTGACAGCTGCCCCTACACCTGAGTTTAACTTTTGAGAAATATAGTCAACATGATGATTTTCTCACACAGGGCTAGTAGGCCTTCTGCATCTGTTATAATTCCTGTTATGTTGTGGACAGAAAATAAATTTTTCTCTCCATGGGAACCTGTTAGTGATACTTGAGAACAATGTCAACTGTAGGCCAAAACCAAATACAAGTGGAAATATTGTTTCTTTTTTTTTGCAGTATTCCTTTTTTAAGACCTGAGATAGGAGGAAAAAAAAGGAAAGAACTATTGACATGTGCAACAACATGGCTGAATATCAAAAACATTTTCTTGACTAAAAGAAACCTTACATATGGAGTGATCACAATATAATTCTATTTCTATCAAACTTTAAAATCTGTGCTGAAAGAATATTTAAAAGTATATGTGGGTTCGGGACCGACTAAGAGGAGGCAAAACTGAACTTTTTACTCTCTGCTGTGATCCAAAACCCATGCTATAAACTTTGTACACAGTATCTCATTTAATCCTCAAAATCACCCTAACAGGTAGTTACTGTCACTCCCCCTGCTTCAAACAGAACATAAAGCTCAGAGAATCCAGGTACTGTCTTTTCTTTGTTTTTTTTTTTTTTTTTTTTTTTGAGACGGAGTTTCGATCATGCCACCCAGGCTGAAGTGCAATGGCGTGATCTCGGCTCACTGCAAGCTCCGCATTCTGGTTCAGGCAATTCTCGTGCCTCAGCCTCCCAAGTAGCTGGGACTACAGGAACGCACCACCATGCCCAGCTAATTTTTGTATCTTTAGTAGAGATGGGGTTTCACCATGTTGACCAGGATGGTCTCGATCTCTTGACCTCGTGATCCACCTGCCTCGGCCTCCAGAAGTGCTGGGATTACAGGTGTGAGACACCATGTCTGACCCGGTACTGTGTTTTACACCTACTTAGAAGTCACCAATTCCTAAAGTTCTATAAAATGTTCTAAATAAAAATGAATAAAGTAGGCAAAAAAAAGACCATGTAAATAGCATTTCTACAAACATCTCCTAAGACAATTTTCACATCGATGTCCAAAGATTACAAGAACGTTTCCACAACACTGTTTAAAATAATAGAAAACTACAAGCAACCTAAATGTCCATGGAAGAGTTAGATTCTTTCTCTTATTTCCGTATAATGCAATACTGTGCTGATGTAGAGATATCATATTCATTTTTAAAAATTACATTCACCTTCTTCTCATGGATCCAAGGAGATATGTTAGAGAATATCTATTGCATTTGGACATAAACATAAATACAAAGGAAATAGTAGGGGCTCTCTACAAGTGGTTATATATTGGAAGAGGAAGAAGAGAAAAATAAAAGGGATCATGAACTTTGTATATGCTTTGGTAGTGTCTGGTTTTGTATATAACTTGAATTTTTTCATAAATATATTTTACAGTCTGCATAATTACTAGGTAAGAAGACAAGTAAGTCACTTTAGTATAAGTTCTTCCAATTACTGCAACTGATTTCTACAGCCAGAATGTTCCCAGAACCTGAAAAGAGGAAGCACTAGAAATGGAAGCAGAAATACTGACACTAGAGGGCCAGAGCTGGAGAGGGTGGATCTAATGCAGCAAATCCATCAGCAGTTCTCATCGCCATCTTTGAGAAACCTCACAATTTTCCGTGCTTAATAAATGAGTTAAATTGAAAACAAACACATGACAGTGGTGCATGAGAAAGGTTACATGTGTCCCGAATAATAAAGTCTGTGCACAATATAAATTAAAACATACCATTTTACATTCATAAGATTGACAAACAAAAAGTAAAAGCCTAGGAATATCAAGTGAAGCCAAACACAAAACAAGTTTCCCCACATTTCCTGTGGGAATACAAATTGTTACAACTACTTTAAACAATTGGAAATTCATAGTAAAAATGAAGACAAGCCTCCCCTACAATTTACCAATCCCTCTTCTGGGAACACAGTAAGAGAGATTCTTCCCAAGAAACCTGTAAACAAATGTATATGGCACTATGCATGTAATTGTACATCGTGGTATTTCCATATGGTAAAGTATGTATTATTCGGCAGGGAAAGTAAGTAGACCAGAGGTAGA